TTCATTCTTCTGCTCTAGATTCATGTCACATGCTACACGGGAAGGGGTAGATCTCTCCTCCAAAAATCTGAATTGATTGTATGTGGAAGGCTTTTGAAAATAGGCCAAGGACCACAGGTATCCCATCCCTGCCTTAAATGAACAAAATATGATAAATAATTGAGCACAGACTAAGCTTTGACTGGTATAAAGGCCAATTCTCTAAAAGGGCTCATTATTTTGATGGGTAAAAAGATTTCCTGGTTCCTGACCACTGCCACTAAACATGTTCTCAAAAGAGCAGAAAGAACTTCCCCCTTTACACCATTTTTTCCAATGATTAAATTGCTGATCATGATAGCTGTCTTTTTTGAATCCTCAGAACTAAGTACAAAATAATGAGACAGGCATGCTTCTTATAAGGATAATAATAGGCATGCTTATTTCTTTGTAATGTTAGATTCTTCCTGCTGCTTTCTCTTTCTGGGTCCAGCCCCCCTCCTCCTTCATGTAGCATAGTCTTCCCCAACTTGGTGCCCTCCAGATGTTTTGGACTTCAGGATTCCCCTCAGTCCTAACCAGCATGGGTAGCGGTGAGGAAAGCAGGGAGTTGCAGACCAAAATACAAGGCACCGGGATGGGGAAGGGTAGTTCTAGCAAGTCCCTTGTTGGGCATCCAGAAAAATCCAATTACCTTCCTTCCCTGACCCGCTACATACATCTTATTTTATTGTTGACTTGAAACACTGTTGTGTGCACTCGTGTTGGGTGAGTTGCCCTAGCTCCCCCACACCAACATAAAGAAAGAAGAAGTGGTACTTGGAATAGAAGGACGACCTCCTACTACTGCAACCCTCTGCCTCCCAAGGGCACATCCTGGGCATGAAAGGATACCTGTTCCTCACCTGAGGGATGGGTCTCGTCTAAGGGATTGTTTTCTTGAGAATGACACCCTCCTCCCCCGACACCTCCATTTTCCATGGCAGTAGAGCTGCTGTCACCCAGGAGTTGGGATCCTGTTCAGTTCCAAGGGCCTCAGAAGCCCCCTCCCTCTCTCTGCCTCTCCAGGTCAGCAACCTTGGCTTCAAGGAGCAGAGAGCCAGGAGCTTGTTACACCTGTGCATATCCATGACCTCTGTCCAGCTGACAGATAGTCCTACATGTAGCACTCAGCACAACACACTGGGCAGCCCCCACACCTCTGCTGCCTCTTTACCTTCATAACTGGGCTTAATTGGTGTTACTGGGTTTGTTTACCTGGAAGAATAAGCTTTCTTACTCGAAAATGGTGAAGGAATATAGGTGTAGCTATACCTTTATATTTTTTTTATAGTTACTTACTATGAGAACTGTTGACCATCCTGGCCTCCTTGCCCTGTTAAACTTGCATGGACACTTAACTCACTTGTGTGCTGATGTGTCATCACTGGGGTGCCTTGTGTTTGGAGAGAGCACTAGCCTGCTTCCTTATATACATGACTCTAGCCAGCTTGGCCCAACTGCTTCTGCAGCTAGTCAAATCAGAGAGCCTTGTCTGAAGAGCAGGGGTGGCTGTGGCTGAACTAGCTTCCATGAATGGGAAGGTAGTCAGTTGAGCCCTCTGGGAGTAGATATTTCTATATGGGGAAGAGGGCAATAATTAATGCACCCTTAGGGGGCAACAAACAAAGGGCAGATGATTTTGGAAGGGAGGCGGCTCAGGCTTCCCTGAGGTTGCAAGGGGCTGAAGGGCTGGCATTGGGTATCTGATTTAGGGAGAATCTAGCTTGCAAAGACTGAGCCCCTTTTTGGTGCTTTTCAAAACTGAATGATAAACTGAACCATCCTGAGTTTATTTCTGAGTTTTGGTTCATGAGCTGCTCAATAAAGCCTAAAAATCTGATCCTACCCTGAGCCCACACTGAAGCTTGTCTTTTTTTCTTCAGAAGCAAGTATACCACTGTCCAGGGCTATACAGTGACTCTTGTCAGTCTAGAGCCATATAATGCTTTAGTTCCCCAAGTTTGGATTTAGTTTGAATATGTGATTGAGGTTCTCTTCGGCATCTCTGGAATTTCTTCTTTGAACAAGGCTGCAAGAACTCTGGGTTCCTGCTGGATTTTCCCCCTGGGATTTAGCTCCTAACTGTAAATTTGTTATGGGGTTACCCTTCTGGGATTTGGTTCCATTTGCTGAGCCATTCTTTCAGCTTTAGTTGATAATATATGAGTTTTAAATGGTTATGTGATAATTTGATAGGCAAAGGAACAGTAAGAAAATGGAACGTGCATTCTCCTTGCATGGGAGCATAACTCACTTTGTGTGCCAGTGCTTTGACAGGAGGACTAAGACACTTTGTCCCTGGGTTGCTCGCGCTCTGAGAGTGCAAACTCCCTTGCAGATCTGCCTCCATATCAAGCTGCATCATCTAGTTCTGACCACAGCTGGCAATGCCTTCCCGTAGATCATAGGGAACAGCAGATTATTATGGGAGAAGATGGTCCCTTAGGTGTCTTGGGCTCCTACCATGTAGAGCTTTTAGCTAATCACTAGTGTGCTTAATTGTGCCTTGAAATGGATCCACAACGTTGCAATTGTAAAATGCACGTGATCAGCTCCCAGAGGTGAACACCCACTAATACTCTTGCTGCTGCATTCTGGTTAGACCTTTCAAAGGCAGCCCATGTAGAACATACTGTAGTAACCCAGTGTGGCTGTAAGAAAAGCATGTGTTACCACAGCCAGGTTGGGTCAACCTGGGGAAAAGGACCCCAGCTCCGACTGCTGATTGTGTTTTGACCAGGAATTCCTGGATACCGGACCCTGTTAGGAGTGTAATAAATAATTTGAGTATTTTCTGCCCAACCACCCAATCTCCACCCATAACTTGGAACCTTACAGGACTGCACTGTGGCTGCCGGCAAGGAGGGCCAGCCAAATACTTGTTCAAGCAGAAAAACTTCCTTTTTTAAAAAATATAGTCCTTCTATATGTTGAAATAGGTAACAGCCATTAGCTAAAACCCCGGGGAAATAACTACTAAATGAATAGTGCATGTAGGGAGTTGGGTACCTGGTTTGATTTCAATTCCACCTGCTTTGTCTAAACAGAATAACAGAGCTCCCTCTTTTCAAATCTATATTAATTATATTATTATATTATCACATATAGAGGCTCAAATTCTCCCTTCTCTTAAGAAAATCTATTTTCACAGAAACTGGAGAAGGTCCCTACCACTAAAGCGAAGCTGCAACATACTTTGATTGGCAGACATGGGGACGTGGGTTTCATGGAATTATCCCTGTCCAAAGGTGCAGGGTCTCCAAGTAACTTGGAGTCATATTTCCCATATCCTGTACTCTAACAAACTACAGTTCATTCACGTATCAGGCTTTGGGTGGGGACAGGAAGAGCTACTCTTTTTCCTCATTACCTCCTTTTTCCGTGAGCAAGTCCCTAATCTCTCTGTGTTGTTTTGTTTTAAAGAGATCTCCTGTTTTAGCCTAAGATTCTCTCCTAGGTCTAACGGAGGGATCCCTCTGTTGGCAGCACTAGTAGCAGGCTGCTAATCCTCTTTTGGGGGACCTGCCTGGCTTGAGAGAAGCAGAGCTATACTTTACTGTTTCTTCCTCTGGTGGACCAGTGCAGCTTCCTCAATTCAGACCGTTTCCTTTATGCACAGTAAGGCACTGTGATAGCTTTATAAGGACAAACTGAAATGTCACAGAACAGCAAGCAAGCTTTTGCGTTCCTCAGAATTTGGCCGGAGCTCAGTGCTACAGCAAAAGTATGCAAAAAGTCCCAAGTTCAATTTCTAGCTTCCCAGGTAATGCTGGAAAAATGCCTGGAGAGCCACTGCCAGTAAGCAAGGACAATATTAGATGGACCAAAGATCACGCCTAGTATTGGGTATCTTGCTAAGTTTATCAGACCAGGAAGCGAAGGAGTGGTACACTTGTTCCCTGTATCTTCTAATTATAATAACCATGAACTTGATACAGCCAGGGCTTTATTAAGTTATTTACAATATTGTTACCCCATCCTTAACAAACATCTCAGGACAGCTTACAATGTAAATAAAACATAACCATAAATAATTACAACAATTACAGCAAGCATAATAAAATGTGACTGAGCATGACCATTACAAACTTAGTTAAAATATTTAACTATTAAAATGCTGGGCAAATGAAAAGGTTTTTACCTGACGCCGAAAGGAATATAATGTTGGTGCCAGGCAAACCTCTCTGGGGAGCGGATTCCATAGTCGGGGCGCCACTGCAGAGAAGGCCCTCCTCCGGGTATTCGCTCTCCTAATCTCCTTCAAGGAGGGTTCCCAGGGGAGGGTCTCTGCCTCAGATCTTAAGGGGTGGGAGGGCATATAGGGAAGAAGACATTCCTTCAGGTATCCTGGTCCCAAGCTGTTTAGGGCTTTATAGGTCAATACCAGCACCTTAGATTGGGCCTGGACTTCATTCGGAAGCCAGTGTAGCTGATAGAGGACCAGCGTTATGTGAGAATAACTTTGGCTTTGCTTCTTGAGCTGCAGCACAGGTTGTGAGATACAGCCAGGAGTATTGTGACCAAAACAAAAGAAGTGGCAAAGGAAGGGATGCTCTCCCACTACTAAGAAAACAAAATCCAGTAGTGATACGGTTCTGTCATAAGCCCTGATTGGAGCTCACTGGTCCCTTGCGAGACGGCAAACAAAATAAAAAGCAGCGTGATCATCTTCCCACTATCGAAGCTTGAGTCCATTCTTTTACATGGTGCACCAGGTAAAAGGAGAAGGCAAATTGGACAGCATCACTTTAAGCATATACAGGCCGTCCAGTTACTTGTCCAAGTCCCATTTTCATGTGGGAGGACATGTCTTTCTAGCATTCCTCTCCTCCATGGTTTTACAGCAGGTACCTTTCTGCTTTTTTGCAGGGCTGTGGATTTATGGAAAGGGTGACCTGGCAGTGGTTCTTGATAATGGATATTTTTTACTAAGAAATGTGCAGAGACAATAACCACAATTTAACCTCTTTGTTTTTCAGTGCTGTGAGGCATCATGTCGCATCCCTCTGCTCCCCCAGGTTATGATGATCGGAACCCCCTATATCCTCCATCGGGATATCCGGGAGCGTACCCACAGCCTCCGCCATACAGCGGTGGATATGCACAACCTGGAGGCTACGCACAGCCTGGGATGTATCCACAGCCAGTTCCTCCTATGCCTGCAGTGCCGATGAACTTTGGTAAATGCTTGAGTTTTTTCCTCCTCTCCCACATCATGGAATGCATTCGGCAGTGGGTGGGTGGGGGTGCTGACAAACCAATGAAAAGTGGAGAAACCAGCTTCTATAACTGGAAGGATACAAGAACAAAGTTTAAGAATGTTATTGTTTTTGTAACATTCATAAAGCATCTAGCTTTTAAAAAAAATCACTGTACAGATATTAAAAGTTACCCATAGACTCACAATCTAAAAGACACAATGAAGGGTAAAGGCAGTGGGGAGGGAAGATGAAAGCATGTGCCGAGTAAAGTTCTTGTTAGTGGGAGAATGCAGGGGGCTGGAAGCAAGTTTCTCTGGCTTTTGGGTGGGGCCGAGTTGGTTTCCTCTTGGCCATGATCTTTCTCGGAGGCAGGTATGCAGCCTCCCGGTAGCCCTTGGTTTCCTGTCTGGTGGAAATGGGAACAGAACTCCTACCTTCTGTTTTGCATGCCCAGGGTAACAGGGTGAACCTGGGTACATGCCTGGTCTGAAAAATGGTGTGTGCCTATTTTTTGCCTAGTATTCTTTACCCAAGTCATGCATGAAAGGGTTTCTGATCTGTCACCGAGTCCATTTCATGGCCACATATTTCATGCTTATTTTTCACTGAACTGTCCCAAACATTTTCTAGTTTGGGAAACCATGCTAGAAAGCAAATCACAGGAACCATGCTCAGACTATTCTGCAGAGGGCATTCCTTAACCTTAGGATGACACCTCCTTCTGGAGCCTGTAGGCATAGCCAAAAGTTGCTTCCTCAGGGATGGAGCTGCCCTGTCCTGCCAGACTGACTGTTCTCAGTCCCACCCAGTGAATTACATCTTTGAAGGAGCCAACTAGTTTGGCAGTCTCTTGGAGAAAGTGTTCATTGGGACTGAAGACAAAAAGAAAGCCTTCCTTACCACAAAGAAGGAAGACTGACAGAACCTTTTGGAACACGTTCTCCCCAGAGCCACCAAACCGAAGAAACCAAATCCAGAGGGAGGTGCTCCACTAGGACATCTATTAAAAGAAGCTGTCGGGTCCAGGATATGAGCAACAGTTGTCTGCACACACAGCACCGGGTCCAGGGGGTGATGGAGCTGGATGGATGGATGGAGATCTTGGAGATCAGGAACAGGCAAGGGTCAGATATCATCAAGGCATAGCAGACCCAGAAGCAAAGACAGTCAGGAACAAGTGAGGGCTAGATACCCCTTGGCAGGTTCAGAGGTGAAGGCAGACCGGGAACAAGCAAGGTCAGACATCAGCAAGACATGGCAGGACCAAGGGTGAAAGCAAGATCGGGAATAGGCAAGAATCAGATACCAAGCAAGGCATAGCAAGACCAAAGACGAAGGCAAGGATCAGGTGCCTGGCAAGGTGGAATCAGAGCAGAGGCAAGAGCAAAGTTGGGAACAGGCCGGAGTCGAGGCAAGACGGGTGCAGCTGCCGCAAAGGTCCCTGTTGTGGTGAAGCTGAGCAGCGCAGGGAAGCCTTTTATGGAGCCTTCCAGAGCTCCCAGCTGCACTGCATGCCCACAGCCTCTAGTCCGTGTAAGTACCTACCGGTCTGATCCTGGTCTTGCAGGCAGTTGGGCAGTGAGCCGTGCTGCCTTTTGCAAACAAGTCACCCGGGGAGCTGTGCCATTCTTGCGGATCCTGACAAGAGCACTGCTGGTTTCTTGGCTCATTCCTCATGCAGAGACCCAAAGAAATACCCGTTAGGAAACCCCGGTTTTATGAAGTGCACCAGGGGAGCCCTGGTTTCAGATGAGTGGGTGCCTGCTTTACCTCGTTTAGACATGGGGTCATACCAAAATCGGCCTCTGGGCTTCACTCTGGAGCTGGCTTTCCCAGGTGGAGGCCAGTTTGTAGTATACCTGTGACCTCAAGGTCCTTTAAAACATCAGAATCATTGCCTACAGAGCAGAGCACAGAGCATGTTCTGGAAAAGGACATCCACCCTGGGGCTCCTTGAGCTTTTTCCTAGTGACTGAGAAAAATGGGGACATCAGGGCCATTTTGGATCTCAAATGGCTAAATAAGCAGATGGCCAAGAAGTATTTCTTGACAGTGTCAAAGTACTCCTCCTCCATCTCCTCCCCACTCTTGCCAGCTCTAAAATGTCTCCCTCCATTTCCAAGGTGGACTGGTGCTCACACTCTGAGCATTTTCACTAGGGAACCTGAAAACTGCCAAGTCAGCTGCCCACCTTTGCCACTGCTTCGACATGTTGGGATCCCACAACAGTCCCATCCTCACTGTCTGAGCTCGAGATCCCATTGCACCGGGCCTCTGCTCAGGTGCACATGGACAACCTGGCATGGTGTGCGCACACAAAGGTGTGTATCAGTGTCCCAGGTTTGAGGACAAACAACTGGCCAGGAAACCTCTCCTGGCTGTCCCCCATTCCAGTGACAGGATATTTAGTTAATGCTTTACAAGGGAAATTAAGTTTGGGACAAGCCCTGTTAGATTCCATCCATCCCTCCAAGTGTTCCTAGGCTTCCTTGTGTGCTTGGCCTCTTCCTTCAAAGTGAGCCAAGCTGACAGGAGGTTTGCAAATGCTCTGGCTGCACAACCAGCAACCTGCTTCTGCAGCGGCTGCAGCAGCCCAAAAGCCTCACTTTGCCAGGAAAGCCACTGCACTGAGAGGCGCTGCCTGCGCAGTGGGGCCCCTCTCCTGGTGGCTGAGCCCCTCCTGACCAGTCTTCTTCAGCACCAGTTGCAGCTGCAGCAATGGCGGCTGCTTCCAGTGGAAGAGGGGTGCTGCTTGCACAGTGCGTAGGGCTTGACTCTAGGCGAGCGCCCTGGGAATGCTGGTTGTGCTTCCCAGGAACTAGGACTCTGGGTCTGTGCAAAGCGGACTGGAGTCTGGGAGCTGGCCCAGGGAATCGGGCAGATTCCCATTCCTGAACAGACTCCTCACATACCCCTTTCTCTTTCTCTGACCAGATGGAGGATGCTCAGTTTGTTTTGGATAGTGTTGCATCCCCTCAAAGGGGTCAACGTTTGGGGGTCCTCCTGGAGCCACGCTTGTCTTTCGAAGCTCTGGTGGCCTCGCGGGCACAGAGGGCTTCAAGGGGCTTACTTTACTTTCTCGTGGAGTCACACTGCATGTGGGGCGGTTCTTGAAAACTGTTCAGAAGCTGCAGGTTGTGCCAAATGTGGTGGACAGTCTGATACCTGGGACCAAAGGTCCAAGCATGTAAGACCAGTTCTGGCTGCTTGCATTGGCTGCCAGTGTACTTCTGAGCCCCCTGCAAGGTGCTGGCTGTATCATATAAAGACATATACCATGTGAGAGCACAGTACCAGAGGGAGTGTGTCTTGCGACCTGAATCTACTCAAACGCTATGATCAGCATCTGAAGTCGTCCTCTGGATGCTACTTCCAGGGAAATTCAGGCGTGGCAACAAGGGGGAGGCCCTTCTCAGTGTTGGCCCCCTGATTATGAAATGCTCTCCCTGCTGAGGCCTACCTGGCACCAACTCTGCTGTTTCTGGCATCAGGCTAAGACTGCCCTTTTCTCTAAGGCATTCAGTGGCATTTAATGGCATATTGGGGCTGGGAAGGGATGCTGTATGCCAATCTAGTTGTATTAGAAAAATGGTCGGTCGGTCGGTCGGTCGGTCGGTCGGTCGGTCGGTCGGTCGGTCGGTCGGTCTGTCTGTCTGTCTGTCTGTCTGTCTGTCTGTCTGTCTTTCTTTCTTTCTTTCTTTCTTTCTTTCTTTCTTTCTTTCTTTCTTTCATATTCTATTTTAAAATTTGTATCTTGGAAAGTATGTGCTGCTTTTATTGTGTTGTGGTTTCTGTCTTTTTTTTTAATTCTAGCTGAGCAATTTAGAAATGGAATAAATAACTCTTTTTCCAGGTGACAGCTACATCAGTAGTGGTGCAGAAGGGGATGGGACTTTACACGTAGCAGACTGGGATGATAAGAAAGTCCGGCACGTCTTCATCCGCAAGGTAACTCTGAGGAATCGGCGCTGCAGCGTCCCCACTGTAGCCCCTGCCTGTATGGCTGTTGCGCTCTGTAGAATGGAGGGTTCTGGCACGCACGATGGCGTGACGCGTCCCTGGGCCGGAGGAGGAGGCTCTGTGGCAGGCGACCCCTGCTGCTCCCTGCGTAGTCCCTGCCAGAGCTGCCGGGGAAGAGCTTCCCCAGGGAGTGCAGAGCCGTGGGCTGTGGCTGCAGGGAGGCACCTGGGCTTTCGACCTGGCAGGTTCGGTACTCCTGGGCACTGCGGTTGGTGGGACTGACACTGATAGCAGTGCCGCTGGTGCTGCTGTCCTCGGAGAACACAGAAATCCTTTTTAAGGCTCAGCAGCAGCAACGATCTTCCTCAGACCTTGTTTAAAACAAGGCAATGGCTCCTATAAGCCAGTTTTTAAAGGGTGGGGGGAATGGCAGACACAGATCCTGCAGTCCCCCAGATCAGTTCCCCCAGCTCACTAGTCACTCAGATCCTGCCTCAAGAGTATTGCAGACCACCCCAGACTCAGCCTCCCATGAAGATTTCCTGCCTTTATTTTTCATTTACTTTTTTAATTTGTATGCCTCCTACTAATCCAGATAGATTCTCTAGGCAGCTTACAGTAAAATACTAAAAGCAACAATAAAACCAGTTAAAATCACAATTAAAAGTTCACAGTTATACCAGTAAGCAATAACAAATTTAAGACTGTCGTTGAAAATATTCAGAGAAAAGAAATGTCTTTGTCTGGTGCCGAAATGAAAACAAGATTTTCAACCCTAATTCATTTGCAGTCTCCTCTGTCTTTGACCCCAGCCTCAAAACAAAGAAAGCTTTCCCACTTTTTCTGTTCTTCTCCCCACCTTCTTCAATTCCACAGCACAGAAGGAAAATTAACATTTATCTTTAAAGTATTAATGAAGGGTTAGAGAGAAGAGGGACCCAGCCTGGCCAATGATTGTGCCTTTAATAGTAGCTTTTTGAGGATAAGAAGCCCATACTTGAAAAGTGCAGAGATAAAATGCATCGCCTAAAAATTTTTTGCATCTCAAGACATGGTTGAAAAGGTGCAGGTATAGTGGCCTATTAAGTGCTTTCAGTCCCAGTCAAGGATGAGTAGAATGCTCTCTGCACATGCCCAGAGATGCTCTAGTGTTGCTTGGTTTGAGGGCTGGCCTCTGGCTCAGACTAAATGTGCTGTGAGCTGCCAGAGAGCCTCTGGCTATGGGCAGCATACAAATGTGAGCGATGATGGATGGATGAATGGATACATACATACATACTCAGTCCCAACTGGGTTTTATGAAACAGGGCTTGGAAAGGCCCATGTGGGGGAGGGATAATGAGGGTGGAAATGGAAGAAGGCGGTGGAAGGTGTGAACAGTGAATATAGGAATCAAGGCGAGGGATAAATCGGCTGATTCTTGCACTTGAGAGGCAAGTGAGTACGGCCAGGGGAGCCGGCTGCGGGGATTCTGTTCATACGGTGGACCACTTACGTGTCTCAGAGGGACCAAAGCACATTTGCACTTAAGTTCAAGTAACTCATTGCCAGACCTGGGCAGCCTGCCATTTCCCTCTTAGTTTTGATGATTCAGGGACTGTCTTTAAGTTCCCTAAAATACACAAATGCAGAGTCTTCTGCATCTTATAGCCCCACTTCAAATTCATTGCCACTTAAACAGGGGGGTTTGAAATTTTCAGTGTCCTTAAGTGAAGGGTTAGAAACATTGGGAAATGCTTTTCAAGGATTTTTACTATCCAGAGAAAGTGGGAAGTCCATCCAGAGGTTAGAAAAAGGACACTTTGAGTTTTACTCAATAGTTTTTTTAAAGGGGATTTTAAAAAAATTGCAAAAGTCACTGTCATGCTGCATACATACATTTAAAAATTTTAGGCTGGAGTCCTGTCCACATTTACTTGGGAGCAAATCCCCTTGAACTCAATGGAACTTATTTCCAAGTAGATGTGTGGAGGATTGTGCTGTAAGGGATGTAGTTACTAAGCAACATTATCAGTTTGTTATCGAAACGAGCAGCAGCAACTCGTCTTTTGCAGTAACTATTAAGGGAATGGTGCTTTGCCTTCCTCTCTCTTGCCTGCAGAAATACACATTGCCTGCCTCTGCTCTCTCTGCTCAGCTGAACTTCAGCTAACAGCAAGCCAGTCAGACACTCCCAGAACTATTGCAACTGATTCAGCTCAAGCCAGAAATAAGCACATGCTCCTCACACAGCTGTGGGAACAGTACAGTTTGCAACACAATTTGCAGGGGCATTTCCCACCTGCTTTGAGGGGGCATTTCAACGATTGCCCAGTGTGCCGGGAAAAAACTAAACAAAACCTAGCTGTACCTGTGCATTTTTTTTAAAATGACATTCCTGCCCTCCACAGAGGATGTTAGTGCACCGGCAGCCAGAGAATCAGTGGTGAGGCAGATGGTACTGCCTGCTGGGGAAGGGGTTTTGCTTGGGTGCTCTTTGCCCTGCACAAACTCGAATTAAATCTGTCACTGAGAACTCCTGTTAGGGAACAGAAAGTTGTGTGGTAATGTTATTCAGCCATTAACACCGCTGCGTTAGGGGTTTTTTGTAACTTCCCTTCTGTTAGGCATGGTTCATTGCCAGTGTGTCAAAACCACAGAACTGCAAGAAAGGGCGGCTGAGCCCACAAGGAAGTACCTGGGGGAGAGAAGGAGTTCTGTGGGAATGCAGCCCTTGTGTGGGACAGCGTGGGAGGAGGGATCCATCTCACTTCTTCTGGGACGGCCTTCCCCAACCCAGTGCCCTCTGGATGAGTTGGAGTGCAGCCGGTTGCTGTTCAACAAGTCTAGAGGGCACCATGTTGGGGAAAATGAGAGCAAGAGCAAAGGATGAGTTTGCGAGTGATGTTAACTCAGCGTTGTTTGCAGCCAGAGAGGGGATCCACGGTCTGCTTAAGTGAATGTTTCAGCACTGGAAGCATCTGCCCCTTCATTTCAGGGAGAGTGGGATCCTCTGAGCAGTTCCAGCAGTTGAGAAAACAATGGCGACTACTGGCATGCTCTCTAGCTGGAGAAATACTTCATGTATTTGTTGGAGGAAGTAACATGCCTGCATAAAATAGGGACTTGCAGAAGGGACTCCTCTTTTGGTGGAGTTCAAGTACCTGGCTCAGGGTACACCCAGCACGTGCTTTAATCCAGCCCTTCTGTCTGGAGTGGGTGTTTTCCGAATGTGCATTTGCAACGACTCTCATATAAGCCGTGTCTTCATTTGCAGGTCTACAGCATTATCTCAGTGCAGCTGCTCCTGACTGTGGGCATCATTGCAATCTTCACCTTTGTGTAAGTCTTTGCTGTGGCATTCCTAGGCCAGGGCTGCTTTTCCCTGCAGACCAGCCTTCTTCAGCATGGTCCCCTCCACGTGTGTTGGCTTTCAACTCCCGTATGTCCCAGCTAGTGTAGCTGGAGTACTGAGAGCTGCAGTCCATGTTTGGAGAGGCTCCTGCAGAGGGGGTGACCAGCAGCAGCCGCACGTGACAGGAGGAGGTGTGTTGGCTGTTTGGATTTTTGTTCACGTAGCAATCCATGTAAATAGTTTCAACTTCCCCTGTGATATTATTTCTGCCAACACTAAAGCAGTTGTTAGTGTGAAGGGAGTACTGCTTGATGCCAGTTTGCTTCAATTTAGGGTTAACTTGGCCATGGGTAGCAAGGAAATGGGAGCAATGGAGCCCGGGTCACTTTTGCTCCTGAAAGCTCCTTTTGCGCTCCCGTCCAGCACTTAGGACTACTCCTTGTAAATGTTCTGGTACTGCACCACGGAAGTACTCCTGGTTGGAGTTAGCATCACCAGAGAGGTGAAAAACTTATTCGTACATCTATTTTGCTAGTGGGAGGGGTGCTTGTGGGTAATTTCAGATGTTTATCCTGGCACTGAGGGCTGGTGCTTGGCTTCTGTTCTTGATTTATTTAGTGTTGTTATTATATACATGGGGAAAGTTTGTATTTAGCAGTGAGAATGATATCAGGATTGCAATGCAAAGGAAAGCACCCTTCAAACCAGTGTCCTAAGTCCAATTTAGAGCCATGTATTCCATCCTCTCCTTCACCTCCTGCTCCCTTAATGACTAATAAGGGAGAAGTTGCTTATTTGCTGCCTTTTTTTCACTCTCCACAGTGAACCAGTGTCCCTTTTTGTGAAGAGAAATCTTGCTGTGTACTACGCATCTTAGTAAGTCTCACCTCTCTTCTATGCTTGTAGGCCAGCGCTGCCAATACACCTGTGGGCCCAATTCTGATCTCACAACCATTAGCCAAACTTTTGTGGATTGCCAGTGCTAACTGCCACTTTGTAGGAGCATCTCGCTATTACACACCACCTTTGCTGGGGAGAAGGACTCAAAACTCCTACTGATCCTTTCAGGAACCCACTGGTGTTACTCAGCTTGACACTGAGGACCATCAGTTTCCTCAAAGTGGATGCTCACTGCCTACTAATGAGTCCTTGTTTCCCTTCAGCTGCCTCCATATAAACACTTTTGCTTCCTAGATACCCTTTATAAGTCCCATTCAGTCCTATGGGGTGTAAGCATGCTTGTCTGGCAGCACTTGAGCTGCAAATTCCCCATATCCCATGATAAGTGAAGCAAACCCAGAGACAGCTGACCCTGTGCACTGGGAGACCTTGTCATCACCTCTTTTGCTGCCTCGTCTTCCTCCTCCGTTTTAATGAGGGCCACTGACAAATAGAAAACAAAATTTAGAACCTGCACACCGTTGGAAACTGATGAGTTGTATCAGTTGCTTGTATTATAAACACCATAAATAAATAGAAGTATTGCAGTGCCTAGGAAGAGTAGTGCCGCTGTGTTGCCATCCCCTGAATCTCAGGTTGGGCCCCATTGGACCAGAGAGGGAGGCTGGTGAAGATGCACATTCATTCTTGCTATCAAAGATGATGATGTAGAGCAAAATTTCCTAGCTCTTTTCTCAGTAAGTAAATAAATAATGGATAAATGGACCAAAGGAGACTTCCAACGATCTGAAAACATAAGAAGATCTTAAGCCATTTAAAATTATTAAAGGTAAAATAGCACAACTTGATAACTTTATAGTTATCAGATAAAGCATCAGTGATAACTATAAAGAATTCAGTGGATGAGTTACGAAGCATGCTGTCAGATGCTTGGGAGAAAGCCTTAACCTGAATAGAAGAAAGCCTTAACCGGAATAGAAGAAAGCCGTAACCTGGGGGCAGAAAAATGGCAGCCAGTGCTGGGAATATTTCCAGCAGAGCAGGAAAGGCAGCACGTTGGACCTGCAGCTACTTTTGACCCTTAGACTGAAGTTCCCCACCCCATTCAAAACTCAGAGCTGGTGGGATAGGATTACAGCAGAAGCCAAGTTGGTGAGGCCTCACTCGGTTTGTATGTCCTGTACAAAGCAAAAGCAACAGAAGCTAAAGCTGTTCCTGATGTTTAGGGAACAGTGCATTTCCGTATGTCCTGAGGATTCCTGATCAAGGGCAAATGCCACTGTATAAAGCTCTTACATCATTACTGTCATAGCGGAATTAGCCACCTTGGGGGCCAGAGTTTGCCATGACAGCCTTTGGCTCTTTTGAGAGTATGAAACTCTTGGTGGATGTTACTGGTATTTGCAGTTTTTTGAGAGTCAGTGTGGTGTGGTAGTTAAGCACGTGGGCCTGGGACTCAGGTGACGTGGGTTCTAGTCCCCATGCAGCCATGGCGCTCACTAGGTGACTTTGGGCCAGTCACAGACTCTCAGCCCAACCTACCTCACAGGGTTGTTGTTCTGGGGAGAAGATTGAAAGCAAGAGGAGGGAATGATGTAAGCCACTTTGAGTTCTTTGTAAGAAAAAAGGTAGGATATAAATCTAATAAATAAATCTGAACATCTTGTTCTTTTTTCTTCCCCAAGTGCGGTATTCGTGGTCACTTATCTGGTGCTGGTGTGCTGTGAAGGCCCACGGTGAGTTTATTTTGGATGTGGACTTCAAACTTTGTGAATTGTCCTAGGATGAGGTGGCTATGTGATATCAGGATGTTGAAATGAAGGACAGCCAGCAGCAATACAGGAAAGCTACTCTGTATGGGAGGTCTCAGAATACCCTTTCCTTTAGTTTCCTGTAGGTGGCTTGAAGGCAGGAGCCATAATGACATGGGCCAAGATGGTCACAGAGCAAGATGGTGCCTCTGCCAAGAAACATTCTGCAATTGAAATGGCAGCTGTAGAAAGGAAAGGAGCTCAGACGGGGTGGGTTGCTAGAGGAGAGTGCCTGTGTTGTGAACAACAAGGGGTGCAGCATACTAGAGCAGGGGCAGCAAGAAGCAGATCTCCAGATTTCAGCACCCAGCATTCCTGACCTTGAGGGGGTTGATTCCAAAACTTGTGGAGAGCTGTGTTATTCTAGACTGGTACCAGAGGATTAAAAGTTATGGCCTGACATGGAGAATATGACGCAATTGCTACAGGCATCAAATTTTGGAGGGGGTGCTTCTAGTTTCATTGGTTTTTTCTCTCTTCAAAAAAGGAGAAGAAAAGCTCCTGTCTGGAGTGAGATTGGGACATGCCTGAACATTTTGCTTCAAGTGAAAAAATGCCTTTAAAGGATTTGAGAGGATTTGATGAATCCCTCAGCTCCACTAGAATGACATTGCTTAACTTAATCTGTACTTTGCCTTTTAAATCTCTTTCAGGAGACGCTTTCCATGGAACCTCGTCCTTCTCTTTGTCTTTGTAAGTAAACATCTTTTGTTGTGGAACTTTGCCTGAAAGCAATGGAGCTACATATTTTGCCCTTATTGTTGGAGGGAATGAAGTGCATGTTCATTTATTGAATGGTCCTCACAGATCTTCTTCCAAAACCCCAGGATGGTCTACTCTGCATTCTCCTATTGGTCCTCTCAAATGTGAGGCCTGGGAGGTAGATTAAATGAAGAGACTGGAATTGGCTCAAGGTCTCACCTAGTCTGACACTGGGATGAATAGTCTTCAAATGGACACTAAGCAGCATAAGGATGAAATGCATTTTTATGCAGCTCTTTAACAATAATACAAACTTAAAGTGACAGAAACATCTTCACAGTTCCAAAAGCCAAACAGAGAGGCCTTCTATTGGACTCTTTCATGTCTCTCCAAACAACAGTGGAAACTATTTATAATAACCTATTTCAGCTTAAACAGAAGTGTTTCAACCCATGAGCTGTTTTAGATGAGTACCCATCTAGCTCTGTATTTGGAGGCTAAATGCGATTTAAAAGAATCCATCCATTCTGTAACTGAGACCTTCTCAAGGGTATCTTACCTTATTAAAATTCTGCTGGCCAATTCCTCACAGTGCCAGAAAACTCCAAATAGTTGATCGGTGGTATATTTATTTTCCTAAGGCCTCATTTGTAATCATAGTAGCTTTCATTGTGAATCATGTTGTCACAGGTTGACAAAGATGTCTTTGCTAATAATGATCAAGTAATTCATCAATATCCCTCTCATCTAATGAGCATACTCAGAGCACCATGTCACATAATCATAAAAATCATATGGAATCAATCCAGCAATCAGTTTTGAGACACGACAATAGAGGGCATAGCATAACATAACCCTGAAGTCCCCAACGTTAATACATAGATAAACATGGAAATAGAAAAGAAGAAGAAATGCACAGCACCCACTAGATAAAGCCTACTTTAGCACGCAAGTCAGCTCAAGAGAGTGGCTGAATACAAATGCCTTTGCCTACCAGCAAAAGGACAGCTGAGGTGGAGTGAGCATGGCTTTCCTTGGATTCCAGTCCTAAACTGAGACTAGTGGTGAACTGAAGTTCCTGGGACAGCTGGGCGCATACAGGATATTGGAGCCCATGATGATGTTGAAAGGCACTGATAGCCGGTAACTTCTGTTTCTGTTTTTTTTTCCCCTAGACCATTGCCATGGGTTTCATGACAGGCTGCATTGCTAGGTAAGAAAGTACAGTCTTTCTAACCATTTTTAACCTTCCCTTGTAGTTAAGCTTGAGCTTTAGGTTATGGATGATATTTTGGATGTTTACTTAGTGACAGACTTTCCAAAGGTTGTACTAAGTAAGAATTTCACTTCTAAAATGAGGCAAGAATGTCCAACAATTAAAATTCAATAATTATTAACTAGTATTTGCCTAGAAAAACCAACAGTACCCACTTTTATGTGGCAGACAATCCATTTTTCCAGCAAGTCTGCTTTTACTAAGGATTTTTCTGAAGAAATGCTTTGGTGGGTGATTCCTGGCTTCGTTGGGTGGGTAATTGTTGCACAGGATTCCACAGCATCTTGTACAGTGGAAGCATCAATGATGGGGATGATGATGATGATGGGGATTCCAGAATTGCACCTGGCCAGCAGCTTTGCATGCTTATAGCGGTAGTGGCCTTAGTAATTAGTTTTGCCAGAGGGCCACACTGAGCAGCTTGGAGGCCAAGGCTGTACCATCTCCCCGTATATGGACAAACCCTATAGGTTCAGCTGCTGCTCCTTGCACATCACCCCCTGCCAGCTTGACCAGTTATTTAGGTTAGTGGAAGTTGCAGTTTAAAACTAGATCGTTTATAGCCTAGGGCCCATTGTTTTGTGTCCCTAGGCTATATAGTATATCAGCTCTTGATTTGCTCTGCTACATTCATATTAGTATGTAGTGCTCACTGGTTCTTTAGGCCTCTTTTATGATATGCTTCTATCTTGGAAGGGAGCCTAAACTAAAATAACTAGGGCTTTATTCTCACTAAATTGCTTAGAATCCAAGCAAAGCAAAAATGCCTTAATTGTCTTAGAATGGGAGATACGGTCATCTCTTGCTTACTATCTGAATGTTCTTAATGGCAATATACCTTGCCATTAGCATTTCTTTCCAAAATGTAGAGAAATCCAGTAATAGATACCAGCTAAGTGTAGTGTTTAAGTAGAAAGGTAGGACAACTTGTGTTATGATTGGAAGCATAATTACTTGAAAGTAATTGCAAGTGATAGGAGAGACTTGCCTCAAAATACATGTAGCATTCTGGCATTAAATTAATGTTCCTTCCCTTAATGGTTATCGAACAATATTAATTCTGTTCTACTGTGACATGCACAACATTTGAATATACTTGCTATCTAGTATATAAATTAGCCTGGCTGTAGGCCTTACCAATGCACTGAATTGTACCATCTGCCAGGGAGTAGCCACATTTGTCAACATAGTGCCAAAAACCGATTTGTAAAGTGTTTGCTTAATTCTCTGTTTGCAGTGTTTACAGTACAAAGGCTGTTATAATTGCCATGATCATCACGGCTATTGTGTCCATAATCGTCACCATCTTCTGCTTCCAGACAAAGGTGAGGTGTGCTCTTTGCTTGGGGTATTGGCAGTGTGGTCAGCAGTTGCTTGGCTCTGCTTCTGCCGGCATCTTTGAAAGTCCCTTGATTCTATGTGGCAGCTGAGATCCCAGAAGTTGGATTGCCTTCATGCTTACGCAGGACAAATCAATAATCACTGTGAAAAATTAGACCCTTTATACCAGCCTTCCCCAACTCAGTGCCTCCAGGTGCATTAGGACTTTGACTCCCATCATCCCCACCCAGCAGGAGCTGTTCTGGCTGAAGATGATGGAAAGAGTTGTCCTAGAACATCTGGAGGGTGCAGAGTTAGGGAAGGCTGCTTGTATCCAAAGTGAGCCATTTAAATAACCAGGGGCTCTAGCAGGTAAGGGGAATATTCCATGGGTGATCAAGGCTAAGCCCTGGATTCTGGTTAAGAAAAGTAACTTTTTAATAAAGTGGGTTTTTTAACTTAAAAAAGGGAGGGGAAGAAATCAAGCAGATAGATTTGAAAAGAAATAAATACTGTCTAAATAACCTGGCATTAACCAGAGTTAGGGAATCTGTGAACTTGCTTGCAATATGCAAAAGACTCCACTGTTCAGATGTTTCAGTAGTGAACATTTCACAAGAAATGCCTAATATCTGGACAGCCTGACCTTTTAGGAAGTTCTCTGTCTGCCAAGGCACTGCCCACTCCATTTCCCACTGGCATACCTATCCCATTCTAAGCATCCATCAGGCCACACCAGCCTTATCTAATGGGAAGGCATAAGAATCAACCTAATCTGTAGTAAAATGGAAGGGTGGCATTAAAAACTGTACTTTCATGTAAGTGTGTGTGTGTGTGTGTGTGTGCGTGCATGCACATGCGGAGGGGGAGGGGAATGGGGGAGAGCGAGAGAGAGAGGTGAGGCCAGGAAGCCTTCTGCAGAGCAAGATGAAGTACAATACGGAATAGGTGTCTCATTGTGTGTACCTTCCCTCGTCATGCACCTTACTCTCGTTGGCAGGTGGATTTCACATCCTGCACTGGCCTATTCTGTGTGCTGGGCATTGTCGTCATGGTGACTGGGATTATCACAGCCATTGTCCTCTCCTTCAAATACGTAAGCGGCTGAGAGTGGAGACTTGGTGGGGCGTGGGTGTCATTGCTGGTCTCAGTGGCTCTTCTGGGCCGAATGTTTTCCTTACAAGCTGAAGTCATCGGTCATGTATGTTGTTCCATATTGCAGTGAATTCCCACCTTGTATTGCTAGATCACTGTACGTGCCCCAGCGTGCTCGAAGCTCAGTTACAACTTGGGATGTGTGTGATCAACATCCTGCCAGCCTGCCTTTTTGAAATTCTGGATCCTGCCTCCTCTGAGGGGTTTCTACCAATGCTCACCTTTTAATTCCCATGCCCTGCATCTGTGCAGCATGAAGAACTCAGGCAGGACTGTTAGAATTAGGTTTAGATTGGAATGCTTAGCAAGCAGCGAAGCAACTTGACACTTCTTTTTTCTTGCAGATCTACTGGCTCCACATGTTGTATGCTGCCATCGGTGCAATAGCTTTCACCCTGGTTAGTAGAGAGTTGCCTCTGAATACATCATGGCTGGTCAAAAGAGCTTGTGGTCATGCTGCTCACTGAGATGGATTGCCTGTCCTAGCACAAGGACTCCTGGCGGGCATACTAGATGTGAAAGCCTAACCTTAACTCTGTATTGATTATCTTCATTACAGCATTGCAAACAATCGTCTAAGATGTGTTTACCCGCCTCCTGTGCTCTCCATTCCCACCCCCTGTCTGCCCGAAATTGGGAAGAAGTGTGAGGGGCATCTGCTGCCCTTCCATTCAGCTGCATGTTCTTTACCCACCTAAAAGCCCGTGGCTTGTGTAAGATCAGAAGCCTTCTGTGTAGGCAATGTGCTGGTTTCTGTTTCCCCTTCAGTATTTTTTAAAGCCAGCATCTCATTATGGTTTATCATCATTGCAGCGTATATTTACATGATAGCTCTGCAGCTGCTGCATATGGGGCCCAGTCTCCACAGGCATGTCTCAAGCTAGCCATAGCTTTTTGTTACCTTAGGTGACACTGAAGTAAGGCAAGTGTTACAGCAGCTAATTCCAAGACCGGAGAGGAGTGCATGTGGAAAGGTTGAGGAGATGGAATAAAATCGCATGTTTAAGATGCACAAATCAAGCTGGAAGATTTTGTTTACTATCCCTTCTTACTTCATCACATCATGGATTGACATAGAAGAGTCTAGTATTCCAGATTTCTGTGAACTGGCAAATTATATGCTTGTTTCAGCAATATTACATGCTTGGTTTCAGGATAATAGTATTTTCAAATGTTGTCTACACAGGACTCTCAATGGCTTGAGTCCTCCGTTAAGTAGATTTTAAATGCACAATCTTATGCACGTTGAGACCCTAGAAAGGTCTGTAACTTCCAACATGGGTGTCTGGGGCATGCCACAAACTGTAGGCCTTTTTTCAGTCTAAACTTGCACAGGATTGCACCCTTAAAGAAGGTCATGGTAGAAAAGTTTCCTCTCCCACTTCCCTCTGCCCATAACCCATCCCACATCTTCTAGAGAAAAAACCCCTCGGAAGAAACTTCGAGGGGTCACAGGAGGCTGCTGGAAGGGAAGAAGGACATTTTCTTCCATGAGCTTCAAATAAGCTCAAGGAAGATCAGTGCCAGTTATGTGCTTTAATGTACCTGCTCTATTTCAGTTAATTTCACTGTTGGTTGAACTGGAAGTCTTTAACTTTGAATATTCTTGCCTATTTGAGCAAAGATAAGGCATTTGTATTCCCAAGTAGAAGAGAAAGTCAGACAATAGGGGAAAAAGGAGAGGGTGATTAAAAAGCAACCCCACTCCCCCACCACCACCAAAAGAAAACCCTTTTCTCTAAAACCTATTGAATGGTAGTAACAATTGTAGGAAATGAGACAGAACTTTGAAATCACAAGCCAGGAATCCTACTGGGACTCAAGATAACTCAAGTGTCAGAAAAGCTAACATCAGCACCTGCTAATGCCATTTGAGCATCTTTCAGGGAATGGAGTTCAGTCCTGTTTTCTGTGGTGTACGCATGCTGGTGTGTCTTTCCATCTCATGTGAACCACTTGGAGCCTGGATCTTGTGTGCTCACATGCCCTGAAAGGGGACTGGGGCGGGCGGAGGGAGAGAGGATGCTTTCATTACTGCAGAGCTTCTGGAAACACCTGTCTCTTTTCTCATGCTCTTTACAGTTTCTTGCATATGACACCCAGTTGGTGCTGGGCAACAGGAAGCACACCATCAGCCCTGAGGAATACGTCTATGGAGCCCTCAAGATCTACACAGATATTGTCTACATCTTTACCTTCCTCCTGCAGATCGTGGGCAGTAGAGACTAAGAGTTGGAGTCTCTGCTAATCTCCCTGGACTTTTGGCAACCTTCCCCAAAGGTTTAGGGGAGCATCTCTTTCTAATTATAATGTCTGGCTGCTTTGGTCTCACTTCTAGCACATTCATAGAAACTACTTAGGGGTTCCACATAGTGGACAGAGATACAGATACAAGTGGGAGACCATATATTGTACACAATGTAGATACTGATCTTAATCTGCAAGATGCCTTTCCTTTCTTCGTTTCCACCAGGGGAGCCCTTCCTTTATGTAGTGCCTTGGATACCTGAATGTAGTGTATATATTACCTCATCAGTGGGTTGTATCCTAGTGCTTTCAACTTAAACTTATTTGTATTTTGTTCAGCATACTTTATTTCTATTTTGGTCAGCATACTTATCTAAAATATAGATGGCTTTTCCAATTAAGGAAGCCAAAGCATCAGGGCTTCACTACATAAGTGCAAATAAAAATATATTTTTGAGTTAAGATCTCCCTTTTTGTGAGTGTTGGAATGATGACAGTTGTATTGGTTGCCTTGGAATACTAACAAAGGGATCCTATACAGAAGTAAGCCCCATCAAGTGCAATGGGACCTAATCTCAGGTGAGTGGGTACAGGAGCGTGGCCTAAGGCTGCAACCTTACCTATAATTCCCATTGAATACAGTGGGCTTTTTTGTAAGTAAACATGCATAGAATTGTACTATAAAACTGCAATCCTTTGCTCACTTATTTTGGAGTAAACCATCATAGGCTTCTGTGTAAACATTTACTTAAAATATCTCTATTCTACCTTTTATAATTCTAATAACTTACTGCAGCATGCAGTAAAAATTTATTAAAATTCTAAAATCAATCTTCAGATGATAAAAGCAGCAGTCAATCAATAAAAGCAGCAATAACATTGACAGGTAAAATACAAGGGATTATTGCTAAAGCACCATCCCTGTGCATAGTATTTTACAGAGTACAGGACAACTCCTTGCCCTTGGGTTATTTATCTAACATTTGCCTGTATGCATGAAGGGGTGTGTGCCCTGAAGATTCCCTCTGAGCTTAGTGCTCCCATCGGCAATGAACCAAAGAATAGGGATTTATCTAATGCTGCACCCTAAAATAGCCTTTGAACAACCACAGACGCAATGTCTAGCTTCAGTTCCATTTCAGGGTATCTACCTGTATGGAGCAACTCAAACTCACTGTATTATTTGTGACAGTCTAGTGGCTGCTGAAGACTTTGAAGTATGTGTAGCCATGGATAGACTCTTCTGTGATTGCCCTGTTTTTTGTTAAAGCCGTCTTAATGGGTCTGGCCATTGCTGCATCTTAGGATAGAAAATTTCATCATCATGGACCATGTGAAGTAGTACTTCCTGTTTATCTGTCCCTTAGTGGTTGATCCTGGCTCTATTATATTGTGGGTGTAAACAACAACAGACAAACAAAAAACTTTCATCCTATCATTTTCTTTTCACACCATGCACAATTTTACTCATTTTATCATGGCTCCCCTTACTCGCTCTCTTTCTATGCTTAAATGCTCTTCCCCATCCAAGAGCTGTTCCAGCCACCTGGCAGTTTTGGTTGCCCTTTCACTAGTTTTGCAATGATCTCTGAGGTGGAATTGCCTGCTAGGTTGACATTTTCGTTGGTGCATGCATGTGTTGTGGTTTGTTTATACAAGTGGGAGGCCATTTATACCAGGGGTGGACATTTCTCATTTAAATTTTTATTTATAGTCTCTTTTCCTATAAGGAACCCAAGGCAGCTTGCATAATACTTCTCTCCATGTTATCCTCACAACACCCCCGTGAGGCAGTGGATTGGAGTGTCCGTACCTGGCCGAAAGCCACCCAGTGATCTTCATGATCCAGGTGGGGACTGGAACCCAAATCTCTCAGTCCAGCATTCTAGCCTTTCCACCACACTAGCTCTTCCTCATCCACTATTACTTCCTGGCTCTTAATCTCTGACAATCAGCCATGCTGATGGGGGCTGATAGGAATTATACTCACACATTTGAAGGGTACTGCATTGGTTACTCTGTTTACACTCAGTTATTTGAATACATTCAGAAGCTGCAGAACAGTCCAAAAACTGTTCCCGCGACACCTTGCGTTGGGCTCAGGCAGTGCTAAATACTTAGGGACAAGGAGAAAAACTCTTGCGATCTGTTTGAATCTTTCACAGTCTCTAGCACTGCTGTTCCTACGAGGTCCGTCTCTTGCGCTCAAGGATGAAGGGCAGCTTGCAATCCCCGTAGCTCGCCTCGCGGGGGCGCTCCCGTTTCATCCTCGTATCTGGTTTAACGCTATAGGAAGCGGGTTAAAAGCCCCGAGGTCTCCCCGCCTGCATTCCTGCATTTTCGAGGGAGGGAGGGAGGGAGGGAGAGTGTGTCTCATTCATGTGGATTCAGTTCTTGTGTTAAGACTGGGATTCGACAACTGCCTGGGCGGTCACGGTGGGATTTGATACGGAGGGCAGGCTATTGGAAACGATCCTGGCACTTGTGTGCTTGGTAGCGACTACTCCCGTCAGAAATACTCGCGCTCCTCTAAAAGCGAATCATCAGCATTGCCCACGCTGTTTGTCGTCTTAGTGGTCGTGCATGTCTGCCAGGCGAGATTTGAAATTCGTATTCTTGCATATTCGGCGGGATAGAGAAGGCTAGATCCGAGGACAGATTTCCCAAGTTAACGATTTTCCAGAGTAACAGTTTGCAGAGCTCCAAGTGAGTGAGGTTTAACCCATCTCTACAAAATGCTTGTTTTGAACTTCCTGGAGAGCAGGATATACCTGTCTACACCCCTCCCCTGCTTTTTCTTACATTAACCCAATGAAGTAGATTGGGCTGAAAGCTATTGACTGGCCTGGGCTCTAAGGCAGGGCGGGAGGGGCAACGTGCCCCCCCCCAGACATTTTGACCTAAAACTCTTATGATCCCTCCCATGATTGAGATCCCTCCCATAAAACATCTGGAGGGCCCTCAGGGTCCCTCGTGGATTCCATACCTGAGTTCGGATTTGAACCCTGATCTGATATTACACCAAGTGGTCATCAAAACTCTTGGGTACTAAATGTACTTGTACTGTAATCTCACAAGATTGTGGCTTTTATCTTGTTAACTTTTAGATTCATTTATGGAGCAGTTAGCAGCAACTAATAAATTCAAAATATTGCCCTTCATTCACTTGGTACTCAGTGTGGAGCAAGCTCTGTTTTGGGGCCCGCTCTGCCCTGCAAGTCCTACAGACACAGGCGGTTTCTGTGGCACGAAGTCTGTTCTCATAGCCTGTGGCATTCTTAGCACTGGCTCCTTTTGGCACTTGCACACAAAGAAAGGGAAAAGAAGGCAATAAAGAGCTATTCAAAGTTAAAATTTCACAAAAGGTTTTCAGTTTTGCTTTTCCTTTCCTCTTATTAGTGTACAGAGTTAGAAATATCCCATTATAGGAAATGAAGACAACAGACTCACTGTTTATTGAGCAAGCCGCACAGAGGGAAGGCACTGTGAAGAAACAAACATGAGCTATATAAAACCGGAGATGACTGAAAGTGTTTGTTGGCCAAGCAGGTAGATTGCTCTGTCACATCTGGTTCCTCTTTCTTGAAGTCACACACAGGCTTGGACCATGTAATGCTGGTTTCTGATGGCTCTGAAATACATAGACTGGAATGGCCATTAAAAGTACCCCAGCTATTTATGCATCCTATTCTTGTAGATGTGCATACACCATACCGTGTGCTAGGAATCTTACCTAAAAGATTGGTGCATGGTATCCAAAGGAAAGCTCTCAACTCCACACGAATAAGTCCTCCCAACACAGAACTCAGCACTACTCCATCAGGCCAACTGCTGCACAGAACTTTGGGGACAACTTTAAAGTATTATGAACACATGATTACAGGGAGTCCCTGAGTTATGAATGTCCAATTTATGACAAACAGTCAGAAAGCCTATTGATTTTTAAAAATTACTGCAAAAAATCTTCTTCATCATAGTAGAAAGAGAGGAAGTGAAAGGGGAGAGAGGGAAATCTCTGGCATCTCCTTGCTGCATAAAGGAGGCACTGGTGAGGGGTGTTTTCTGGGGGTGGGGGAGGGCTATTATTATTATTATTATTATTATTATTATTATTATTATTAGAACATTTCTATGCCGCCCCTCGATAGTCTTGATTTTTTTCACTTTTACAGGGGTCCCAGTGCTCCTATCCCCTGCAACTGTGGAGGAGCAACTGTATGCGATCCAACCTAGACAAATTCGACTTGAAGGCAAATGTCCATTCTCTCAGGAACAGAACTCATTCAAAACCTAGGGCCTGCCTGTATCTGACCGTTCTGTGCTTGAAAAGGGGTGTTATCCATACAATTGATCCTGGGTGGGCAAAAGAAATTCTGCTGGCGCAGTCTCTCTTTGGAACGGCACATGCAACATGCATGCGGCCACCACACTGGAGTTCCACATTGCAGCTGGCACACCACTGCAATATACCTGACTGTTCCCCCGTGTCAGTGTCCGGGGTGAGGGCAGCTGACTAGCAAGGTAAAGGCACTAGGACCCAGGCAGGCAGGGCAGGGGTGATAAGTCCAATGCACAGTCCAAAGGTCAAGCCGGGAGTCAATATACAAGCCAAATCTACACAGAAAAGTCGCGTAGGCCAGAGCAGCCCAAGAGGCGGAGAACCAAACAAGGCAGACCAGTCAGGGAGAGTCGATTCTTTGCAGGTCAGGAAGGGAAGAGGTGCAGGCAGGATCTGGGAGTCACAGGACCAGTGTTCCAAGTGCAGCAGAGCAGGAGACTCTCACTGCTGAGGCAGCTTCTGAGGAGAAGAGCTGGTTCTTACATAGCTCTTCCCCAGGTGGAACTCATGAGAGCCCTGGCAGCTGCAGTGGACTGAGGTCAGAATCCTGCGACTGCCAGAGCTGCTATTCTGGTCTCTGGCCAGAAGAGGGAGCCCTGGTGCTGCCTCAGAAGCTCAATCCCTGGTCTGTGTCCATGCATACTTTGTTGCCTTGAACTACATTTGGAGATATTTAGAAGTTTATGCAGAGTGGCCAAAAATTCCAAGAACTGAGAATTTGATAGCACTAACACAAACAGGAGGCATCATGAACTTCAATAACCTTGATTTGTAGAAAGGGCATTCATCACATTCCCCTTGTAACACATGGCCTAGATAAAGCTTTCACAAAGCACATTATAAAGCAGTTGCATTCCCTTGTGATAAGGGCTCCTGGATAAAACCTGAAGTAAACATAGCCTTGGATGAAACGGTTCCCAATCTATTCTGCTTTTTATGTAGCATCTGACTTTTGCTTCTGCTTTTCCTATGGACACATTCTATGATGTAAGGCTTGGAAGAGCAATGCATGGAAAATTCTTTTGTATACTCTAGAGCAGGCTGCCAGTTACTAAAACCAGGGGCACTGCATGACGGAGAAAGTTGCTTTCCAGTCATTTTCCTTTCTCAATATTCTGCAAAG